TGCTCGCCATATGTTGTCAGTGACTGAGACTTGGGTAATGCCTTGAATTGTAGCAGCGGAACACCCTTCCCAGGAAGTGTGCACTTTAAACGCTCCATCCAGCATTTTTGCAGAGGGATTTCCAACATTTGTCCTTAGATGAAATATATCAATAGTGTCATTCAGAAAGTTCTTCTCTTTCATCTTCTCTGGATCGAAGGAGAGAAGGACTTCTGGCTGGTTGTCGTTCCCCTCGAAGCTGGACTGCATAAATGCCAAAAGCAGAGCCGTGTGCAGATATTTCAGAAGCAGTAGCCGAAATTTAGCCCAAATATTCTTCAGTGATTGTCACTAAGCCCAAATATTGTTCAGTGGTTATCATTAATAGTCGAAATATTCTTCAGTCTTTATCACTTATAGCCGAAATCTTGTTCAGTCAATGGGACAGTTCTCATTTAGTCCCAATATTGTTCAGTGGTTATCATTAATAGTTGAAATATTCTTCAGTTTTTATCACTTATAGCCGAAATCTTGTTCAGTCAATGGGACAGTTCTCATTTAGTCCCAATATTGTTCAGTGGTTATCATTAATAGTTGAAATATTCTTCAGTTTTTATACAGTCGAAATCTTGTTCTGTCAACACTTGCACAAACTCATGTTCAGGTGTTTTCATTTATTTAAATTATTATATTGAATTTATGACTGAACAATGGCGCGTTAGATACAGAGAGAGCATGAGCTAATTGAATAGAATAGCTTTGTCATTGTACAAGTAACATTACAATAAGATTTATTTTGAAACTTCCAAATTGATAGTAAATCTTAAGAATACAAATGATTTAAAATGGCAATAAAAAATTATCAATTATAAAAAGTTTGCAGCAGTATTAAAGGGGTCATATGATGCGATTTAAATTTTTCCTTTCTCTTTGGAGTGTTACAAGCTCTTGGTGCATAAAGAAGATATGTAAAGTTGCAAAGACTAAAGTCTCAAATCCAAAGAGATATTCTTTATAAAAGTTCAGAGTCACCCACACCTACCTAAAACGCCTCGTTCTAACACGCCCCCACATATCTACCTCACTATGTGGGAAGATTTGCATAACGCTGCCCAAATGTTCACACAAAGAAAGAAGGCGTAACTTTTATTCTCACTGTAGTATTGTTGACACTGCAGCCATGTTGTGAAGGCGCTGTGTGTTTCATTGTGAAAGTGAAACTACTTTGTTTGGTCTTCCAAAAGAGGACGATATGAAGAGCTGATCTGTGCTGGTCGCTGAGGGAATACATCAACTTTCACCGTGGACAAAGCGGAGTCCAGCCCGGGGCAACATGTGGTTGCCGCTCATTGGTCGCATCCGCCGTGCGCGCCGATCTCTCCCCCCGCCGCCTCAGGTCACTCTATCCCAGCCTCAGCGCACACTAAGCCGGGGCTTCGGCTCACGCTAGCCCGGCCTCAGCGCATGCTAAGCCGGGGCTTCCCCTCACGCTAGGCCGCTGTGTTTTTCATTGTGAAAGCGAAACTACTTTGTTTGGTCTTCCAAAAGAGGACACGACTACGAATCAGTGGTTAAGTTGTATTTACAACACTGTTCTAGAACAGTTTAACCCAAATATCCAGATGTGTGCAGCACATTTTATGGAGGACTGTTTACTGATCCTGGGAGAGTAACGTTAGACTACAATGCCGGCAGTTCTGACTCACCTCGCTTTTTCAGACCGATGAGCTTTGTAAAAATCGACCAAAAAGGCGGGGCATAGACGAGAAACAATAATGTACAGTATGTGGAAAATAATGTGTTTTTTAACTTTAAACCACATAAACACATTTCATTACACCAAAAACACAAAATAATGTTCTTTTTAGCAACATCATATGACCCCTTTAAAATAGTGCAGATAGCTCAGATGTGCAATTCAGCATTTAAACCTAAACAGTACAAACAGAAAACATAATGTAATAAAACGGTAGGGGACTAGGGGTGAATTTATTATTCCATGTACAAACCCCATTCCAAAAAAGTTGTGACACTGTACAAATTGTGAATAAAAACAGAATGCAATGATGTGGAAGTTTCAAATTTCAACATTTTATTCAGAATACAACATAGATGACATATCAAATGTTTAAACTGAGAACATGTATCATTTTAAGGGAAAAATAAGTTGATTTTAAATTTCATGGCATCAACACATCTCAAAAAAGTTGGGACAAGGCCATGTTTACCACAGTGTGGCATCCCCTCTTATTTTATAACAGTCTGCAAACGTCTGGGGACTGAGGAGACAAGTTGCTCAAGTTTAGGAATGGAGCTGTTTAGACAGTTCCATCTATAAAATGATTACATGCTCTGGTTACACTTTGTTAACATTAGTTAATGCAGTAACTAGCATTAGCGAACAATGAACAACACATTTGTTAAACTATTTATTGATCTTAGTTAATGTTTGTTAATAAAAAATACAGGCGTTCATTGTTTGTTCATGTTAATTAACAGTGCATTATCCAATGTTAACGAACAACTTATGGTTTTAATATTGCATTGATAAATGCTGAAATTAACATTAACTAAGATTAATAAATGATGTAGAAGTATTGTTAATTCTTAGTTCATGTTAACTAATGTAGTTAACTAATGTTTACTAATTAACCTTAATGTAAAGTGTTACCATACACTACATTGGAACACATTTTGTACGTACCTATTAGGAGTGCTCCTATATTTGTTTTCCTGATCCCTCGCTTTTCTCCCCTTCCACACCAGTTCAGTTGTTTGGCTACAGGACCGAAAACCTTGGAGCATATTCTCCATATGGTTTTCTTCAGTGTATGTCCTCCGCTGATGGATAACCTGTTCACCTTAAAAATAAAAGGTAATTTCAAAACATTACAGACAAAGCACAAACATTATGGTCCTGTTTCACAGACAGGGACAGAGCTGGTAGATTACTTACAAATTGTAATCTGTTACTGATTCCAAATTACATGAAAAAAATTATAGTTAGCAATGAAATCCATTACATTACACATTTTAAATAATGTAATCGGACTACTTTTAGATTACTTTTGACCTAACTCGTCTATCACATTGATTTAAATAGTTTAATCAAAGTACCATATGGACATAAAAATAAAAAGAGTAAGTAAATATATTTTAATTGTTGTTATTAACAGCATGAAGTGCATTAAACATTATATTATGTCAAGGTTTCCCAAACTGGTGTTTGTGAAGGAACTGTAGGGGGCTTATGAGTTTAATGAAAAGCTAATAATAATAAAATGTTAAATTAAAATAAAGCGTTTTAAAATCAATTAAAAAAAACTTACTAAAAAAATATCAATATTTTACTTGTTTACCTGCATGTCATGTGATTATAACCAATGTCAGAGAACCAATGAACATACAGATGTGATACTTAATTATAAAAAAAACTAAATGTAACAAAAAAAAAAACAATGACTGGTCTCTGTGTGAATGTCCACAAAACCTGAAGACTTTCTGAATGTATATAAGCAGCCGGCTATTTTAGAAATGAAAACTTCAAAAATGAAAAAGAGGAATTAGGGGGGAAAATTAAATTCTGAATAATCTATTGCTATTATGTAAATAATATTTAATCATGTATTATATTATGTCAAGGTTTCCCAAACTGGTGTTTGTGAAGGAACTGCAGGGGGCTTATGAGTTTAGTGAAAAGCTAATAATGATTTAAATCACACAAAAAAAATGTAAATTAAAATAAAGCATATTTTATTTGTTTACCTGCATGTCATGTGATTATAACCAATGTCAGAGAACCAATGAACATACAGATGTGATGCTTAATTATTTTTTTTAAAAACTAAATGTAACTAAAAAAAAAAAACTCTGTGTGAATGTCCACAAAACCTGAAGACTTTCTGAATGTATATAAGCAGCCGGCTATTTTAGAAATGAAAACTTCAAAGATGAAAAAGAGGAATTAGGGGGGAAAATTTAATTCTGAATAATCTATTGCTATTATGTAAATAATATTTAATCATGTAATCCATAAAAAAGTAACTGTAGTCTGATTACGAGTATTATAAAATGTAATTTTAGATTTTTAATTTTTGGAATCTATTTACGTAATCCAGATTACATGTAATCAGTTACTACTGAGCTCTGGACAGGGATTAGTTTAAATCAGGACTATAGGTCTTACTTTTGCTTTTATAAAAATGCTGTGTGCATCTTGAGACAAAACAGTTGCACTGAGGATATTGTAAGGAATGTCATTGCAAGTTATTTTCAGTTAAGACAGCTCACACGTGCATTTTAGTCTGGGACTATCTTTAAGCCTTGTCTGTGAAACCGGGTATATAATAGACATTATTTACTTCACTACAACTGTTAAACCTACAAATGTCAATGATTTTTACCATCTTTTGCATCATTGCTTTTTCTGATAATTGTCTCTCCAGTTTGACTAGTTCCTCCATGGTTGTGAGAGGAAAGACATCGTCCTCACTGTCCACCACCAGCACTGGAGCATTGGAACGGCTGTTAGTTGCAAGGGACTGGACCACTGAAGTCAGATGATTGATCTTCATGTCCAGTTCGTTAAGTGCCTCCAGAATTGCCCTCTCAACAGCTGCAACAGTCGGTTTATCTGGGAGAGTATTTTTATTAAACTATAACATGTATAATTTACAAATTTAGCACTTCAATTTAACGTACGTGTACATTGATTAGTGATGCAACTCGTCTCACACCAGAAGCACCTGCAAGCACAAAAAGCTCTTAAATGTGATAAAATGAACACGTCATAAAAATGATGTTGTTAAAGATATGGCTACATGCTTAAAGCCTTAGGCTGATGATACACAGGGCAACTTTTTGGGCAAAGTTGCTGTCAAGAGGCAACCAAGTGACAATCTAAAGTATCCAAATAGAAATGCGTTACCCATTCTAAACGGGAAAGTGCCCAAGCAACATAGCACAAAAAGGTTGCCCCTGTGTATCATCAGCCTAAAACAATTTTATTTTAATGTTTAAAAACTTTTAACTATATCCATTTGATTGCACGTCATTTCCATGATTAAACTGGATTAAACTGTAAATCACAGGATCCAGAAAATTAAAAAACACAAAACTAAATTTAGGGAAAGTAAAATTGAATTAAAAAAACAAAACAAAAAAAACAAGGGTGTGTGGATTTTTACCGTTATAGGCTGGTTGTTTTCACACACTGCGGCCACACAGCTGTATTCAAACATCTTATAAAAGTGATTTTTGCATAATAAGTCCCCTTTAAGTAAATAAAAAAGTTACTGAATATGTGGAAGACTAAATTAAGGCAGTACTTTAATTGTTCTTGAATAGCAGCAGTAAGCATTAATGTATGATCACATTTAAGTTTTAAAAATAAAGTTTTGAAAGTATTTAATTGGTCTGAAGAATTTAATTGGTCTAGTAATTATTTGTGGAAATTGGCACATGCCTCTGAGTTGTTGTACTTCGGGTGACACGAGTTAGACTAAATCAAAAATAGACGACTTCTTGTGGTGTGCAGATAATGGCTGTAACTAACCATCATATTTATCTGTCCAGTTTGATTTTTATTTTTTTTTGCATCAGTTTGATTACATCAATGACAGTTTTAACTTGTTAATGCTGACAATTGACATTGGTATAAGTGGGATAATCCACAGCTAGATGTGCATAAATAATAATTCACTCTGCAACTGCCCATTAAAAAATACTAATTACTTACTATTTGTTCTTGCCTGGTGGGTACTTGAGGGTCTCAGTTCAGAGATTGTGTCCTCTGATGGATTGTACAGAAAATTACCTAGTGTTATTAATTTGCAGTGTATGTGTTTCCTGCATGTGTTTTTATGAATGTTCTTTTACCTTGAAAGTTAGAAGGGTGTTCACCCCAAGCATCCTCTTGCTCATTTTCATTGGACAAGCTGGTAAGTTGGTAAATTGCATTTGCTACCATGACAGTGCATGAAACTGATACACTATGGGTTAGATTTACTAACAGCTTGTGCCAGTGCAAACAGTCTTTTGGCGTTAAAATAGTACAGTCAGGATTTACTAAAGAGGCACAGTAAAGAATTAGCGCTGAAAAGGCGTGGACACGGTTGTTTTTGCATCTGACCTTATTGAATATGCATTTGTAGGAGTTTTCCTTTCAGACGCAAAATTTATGGGAGGAGAGTATTAAAATGAATCACGCAATGCGATTGAATAACATTTGTGCTCGTCAAATTATTGGTATTTGCTCCATTTTTAATGCCCAAAAAAGGCATGTCTTAAAGCAGGCGGTAATTTGCGCTGCTCTTGGTAGATT